CCAGCAGCCGTGTATATAAAACTATATAAACGTCATGATTATCCAATGAAAAGCGACGTTACAAACGTGCAGTATTATAAATGTACATGTACATGTAGCCTTGTTTTTGAAGATTAAGTGTTGCAAATATCAGATGTAACCTGCTAATGAAAGTTAGAAAATAAAGTATTTCAATTATCACTTGTTACCTGGTAATTAACACTCCTTCATTACACACACAAGTAATTAACCTTTAAAGAAATTTAAGTGATGTGTAAGAAATAATCTACAGTTAATTTTATTTTGCATTTACTGGCTCAAACTGTATAAAAGACTTTTATCATTTTCAACTATTACATTAAAAATATATGATATCAGAAATATCTTTCTTCTGACATTCAAAATAAAAAGGTCTAATTATAAGGTGCTCATAATAAATAAAAGTGTAGTCTGCAACATTACCCATAAAACATTGTGCGTCAATAAATACATGACTGTACAACTTAATTAACTCAATAAACCTAAAATATTACATCTTTGATCGTCTGTGAATAACTTATAATTAACTTATAAAGACTTCTTTTTATTTTCTTCTTTTTGAAATGGAACTTATGATGTTACCATAATAATATTAAATTAAATTACAAGTACCAGTTTTTTTTTTAATAAAAAAAAATGGGAATTTACAGCAGATTTTGTCTGGTTAAGTCTTTTTATCGTCAATACGGGCAGATGGTCTGTATATTTTAAAATAAAATTGATATTTGTATTAATTAAACAAGTCTTTTACTTCAAAATATTCTTTAAATTTTCAAATTAGGATGATTAATGGTAAAGCTACAAAAATTTTGGTAAAGTAGGTATCCGTTGTGAATGGGCATTTAAGCTTATCAATCTATGTACAGTACCTTTATCAGGTAGGCGACAAAATATCTTAAGCATTTATATACATTGTATATGGTTAACTGGGAGTTTCCAATCATTGTAATTAAGTTCCATGAAACTGCTTAAAAATAATTTAAAGTTTAAAATATAAAATGAAATAATCCAATTAAAACTTCTTATTAACAAACCATGATTTATGAAATGTACCACATTTAAATAACTAGAATGTAAAATTAACTTCACTGCCACTGTATATAACAAAAAGGACAGCATCTATTTCTGGTAGTCCAATATATTAGACGTTACAGGCTTGTTATAGTTTATGTCAGTCAAGCCTGACATCTAATAGTCATTGCTCAAAAACGCATAGCATCATAAATTTTTTTAAAAATGGCTATTGTCATGCCTTTCAAGCTTTATTCAAAAGCTTTTCTTCTTTTCTTTCAATTTCATGCTCAATCAGACACAAAAACTCTCAAACAATGTACTTATCAATTTAAAATAAAATATAAACATCAATCTATTTTTGTCTATCAGCCATACTGGTTAAGCAAGGTGCTTTACAGATTGATTCTAAATTTTTGAACGGAAAAATATATTCGAACACACTGACGTTGTATGGGCAATTATTTCGTTAAAAAAATTTCCGTTAGAATGTTCTGACTCAGTTAAACGCTTGCATTTGAATTAGCTATTCCGTTAGAATGTTCTGACTCAGTTAAACGCTTGCATTTGAATTAGCCAATCAGATTTTGCGCACTGTATGGCCGCCATTTGTTTATCGGCTGTAAAAGGAATTTAAATACACAAGTTTGCTTCTTTAAAAAGAAGCATGCGAGAGGTCTTTTTGCTGCTGTGAAAAATTTGTTTAATTCGAAAATATTTTGGGATAATTTTGCATAAAAGACACAAGGAATGCTTATAAATTACAATTATTTAACAAAATAGAATTTATTATATATATTGAATATAGTATCATAATGAAAGTTTGTTTTACACTTCATTTTTTTTTTTTAAATGTTTTGATTGATTATATACTGGAGAAATTGACTTTTTTCTTGGCACATTTATAATAGGGATACTTTTTCTAAAAGGGAACAATTTATGTTTTGTCATCAAACTGAATTTAAAATAAATGATAATACACATGTATATATCACAGATATATTTAGCTCCATGTATATATATGTATTAAAAGCAGTATTACAATAAAAGTTTAGAACCTAATAAATTTCAATAAGCACATTTTCGGTTCATGTTTTGGTAAGTTCATATATGGAAACATTTCCTCTACATTTTCCAAAACGGGCATAAAGTTTGTTAATCAAACAATTTTAAGTCCCAGATTTACATAAATAATGTTTATATCATTTTATTAGAATAAACAACATATAAAGCTGCATGCCTGCCAAAAAATCTCTGTTACACTATTTAGTCATACTGGTTCAAAAGTTTAAGGAGCAGCAAAATTTCCATACACGGTTCACCTGGTCATATAATAGTGCATGGTGATATTGTACCTGTAAAATTCACTGTTACCATTTATAGTAAAAACGCTATTCAGTAAACAATACAGTAACCGATTTATAGAATTTAAATAATATATATAAAGTAACATACATTTTGTAAATGATATTTTCCGTTTTTTCTTTGTACCAATTTGTTCACTTTGATGTTAATTTTTTGTTTAAGTTAAGTCGTATTTTTGAAAAGGAGCATGCGCAAAACAATTTTTATCTTAGATAATCACAGAGAACAAGTGTGTGAAGTTTCAATCCATTCCCATCAGTAGTTATGGAGATACCAGCTTTCATACAAAAACTTAACCAAGAATTTCTAAGTCGAAAAAGGGGCATAATTATGTAAAAAAGCAAATCAGAGTTATGGGACTTGTTCCAATCATCTTAGATAATCACAAAGAACAAGTGTGTGAAGTTTCAATTCATTCCCTTCAGTAGTAATGGAGATACCAGCTTACATACAAAAACTTAACCAAGAATTTCTAAGTCGAAAAAGGGGCATAATTATGTAAAAAAGCAAATCAGAGTTATGGGACTTGTGACAATCATCTTAGATAATCACAGAGAACAAGTGTGTGAAGTTTCAATCAATTCCCTTCAGTAGTTATGGAGATAACAGCTTACATACAAAAACTTAACCAAGAATTTCTAAGTCGAAAAAGGGGCATAATTATGAAAAAAAAGCAAATCAGAGTTATCGGACTTGTGCCAATCATCTTAGATAATCACAGAGAACAAGTGTGTGAAGTTTCAATCAATTCCCTTCAGTAGTTATGGAGATACCAGCTTACATACAAAAACTTAACCAAGAATTTCTAAGTCGAAAAAGGGGCATAATTATAAAAAAAAAGCAAATCAGAGTTATGGGACTTGTGCCAATCATCTTAGATAATCACAGAGAACAAGTGTGTGAAGTTTCAATCCATTCCCTTCAGTAGTTATGGAGATACCAGCTTACATACAAAAACTTAACCAAGAATTTCTAAGTCGAAAAAGGGGCATAATTATGAAAAAAAGCAAATCAGAGTTATGGGACTTGTGCCAATCATCTTAGATAATCACAGAGAACAAGTGTGTGAAGTTTCAATCCATTCCCTTCAGTAGTTATGGAGATACCAGCTTACATACAAAAACTTAACCACAGGGACGCCGACGCCGACAAATGGGTGACTGCATTAGCTCGATTATTCTGCGAATAGTCGAGCTAAAAATGGATGCCGCCAGCAATCAGTCTGAACACTGTGGAGAGGTCTGATGACCTCTCCAAGGAGAGGATTTGATCATGATTTTTCGGATGTGACAGTTTAATTATTTTGACAAAAAGTATTTATTTTTTAGTTTTGTTCATAAATAGGTCAAAACTAATGTAAATACACGCTGTCTTGTTTTTCGTTCTGCCCGATTTTCTGGCAGAACATGCTATGGGTTTTTGAACAATTTCGATATGACCTTGCTTTGCCCAGAAGCAAAAATCACAGGAACTTGAAATTCTATCAATATTAATGATAATATCCAAAATATACCCCCTATACAGTATAAATAAACACAAGGAATGAAACGCCTTTTCCCCACCCCAACATAATTTACGCCGAACAAATCAACAAAACAACGGATCAAAATAATCTATCGGGCCATTTCGATAAACAATACATAAATGCATCAAATATCACCGCTAACTTTTTAAAAGCGCGTAGCTATGTAGGAATAATTCAACATTTTCTGATTATTTCCCGCGATCTGAGTTTGTCGCCGACTCCATTCCGTGACGTCACTGGATTTTGATTCGAGGAGAATAATATTTATTACAATTATTTTTAACAAGTTCCAAAAAATAACAGGTATGTATTAAACTTTTATACAGATTATTCTATGTAAATAGATTTAAACATCTTTATGTAAAACCTTTTTAACAAATTACTTTTATTAATAAATTTGATAGGGAAACCACAAACAAGAACGGTAAATCTTTGAAATAGTACTTTCGTTTTAAAAACATATTTGATTACCCTATTTGATATAGCCCAGCAAATAAATTCAGCCATGTCCTAAGAAAGAAATTAGTCATTTGTTCTAGTTTGACAGTATTTTACTTGCAAAATTGTTATTTTTGGGACTTGTTAAAAATAAAATTTAATAAATATTATTCTCCTCGAATCAAAATCTAGTGACGTCACGGAATGGAGTCGGCGACAAACTCAGATCGCAGGAAATAATCAGAAAATGTTGAATTATTCCTACACAGCTACGCGATATTAAAAAGTTATCGGTGGTATTTGATGCATTTATGTATTGTTTATCGAAATGGTCTGATAGATTATTTTGAGCCGTTGTTTTGTTGATTTGTACAGCGTAGGCTAAATTATGTTGGGGTGGGGAAAAGGCGTTTCATTCCTTGTGTTTATTTATACTGTATAGGGGGTATATTTTGGATATTATCATTAATATTGATAGAATTTCAAGTTCCTGTGGCAAAAATATCTCAAAAAAATATCTCAAAGCGACGTCATATTTATAGGACTACTATTTCCGGGTACTCTTACTATCCGAAACTAATTCAGTTTTCAAAATAATAACTTTTGATCATAGGTACTGTACAATTATAATGCATATTCAAACCTGTTTTAATATTGAAACTAATTCATCCCTAGGCATCAGATCGGGATACATCCAGTCAATCTGCTTAACTTCCTCACTTTCAGACATCGTTAAAGCGACTGCAAGCAATGCCGATGTTGTTGTTGTCGTCTCGCGTGTTAGTAATGTGGCGTAAAGAGGAATAATTGAACAAAAAGACATTGTTATGTATTTGACTTTAAAAAAAAACGTTTTTACTGAATTTTGCAAAATAATATTCGTACTTTTTTTCATACAACGTCTGCAATTTTATTGAATTCAATAAAGAAAATTATTATAATCTATTAATGAAACTTGTTTGTCAAGACAAGACAGTAGTTGTGGATGTTGACTGAGCATCTGAAGTGCCTGTACGTATATCAGTGTCCTAAGCCCCTTAGTTTCCTTATCTATAACAAGCTACCCTTTTAACGTCATGTGTACCTTAATTATCATTAATTACTTTTATCAGACTTCAAACATTTCAACATGATTTACATAACATGGCTCTCTAGGAGAAGTAGTGGGACATATATAATTATCATCAAAGCTATAATCAAACAACAACATACCTACTCCATGGTCTGGAATCGGTCTCTTAACCCATTACTTCATATAGACGTCTTTTCAACCCCCTTTTGAGGTCTCAAATTGTGAAAAAAAATGCCCTGAAAAAAATGCCCTATTTAGACCCAAAACATTACAATTGTTTTCGTTTGAGAAATAAGTGTAAAAAAGTGATCACTTTTTCGGCGCCATTCCCTATCCAAAAGATACATCAAGGGTGTGCCAGAGGGGGATGTGCTCCCTTTCGCTTGGAAAAATCAACGCAAAATAGAGATTATTGGCAATTTTGAGATGTCTCCACGTTGCCTGGTAAGAGGAAATTTAAGATCGAGTATGCCGTTACAAAGGCTATCTATGCTCCACTAAACATTTGTGCCAAGTCTGAACAGTATTAAAGCCTTTCTTATAGTTTCATAGCAATTTGAACTTGTAACAGGAGGCTTTTTAATGAAAACACTGCCATTTTTCACAAATTGCTCATGAAGTAATGGGTTAAAATGCTTAATATCTCGAACTTGATATATGTCTGCTGACAATAAAATTAAAACACACATATCTAGAATAATTGCAATTTATCAAAAGGAATGTAGTTGCGAAAAATGAGATATTTGAAGAACTAGCATATAAGTAAATCGTTTGGCTACAGGTTGAATATGCTTTAACTATTCTGTCTCCCTGCACTAAAACCAAAGTAGAAAAGTTTCACAGACGTGCCGTATTGCACGTCAAAAAGATAACTCCACAGTTCCGGGTGTCACAGCCATGTATAAGGAACTAGGCTGACACTTACTAGATAGACAAATGCATATTAATTATACCACAGTCTAGCTGCAAATTTCAATTTGTGCATGTAGGTCTTATTTATGCTAAGATTTTATCAATGTTTAGTGTATCAAAAAAAAAAAAAAAAAAAATTGGTAAGAATGAAACACATCCTTTTTTAATATTTGATTTTTTTTATCCATTTGCCAATGTTCCTAGCTCTTCAATGAAGGTAGAACTAGTTGTTGCCATCTCACCCCCCCCCCCCCCCCCCCCCAAAAAAAAGAAAAAAAGATATGAAAAAGAAAGAAAAGTTATAATTAAGAAGTAAATCTATAACTACATAAATATTATTTATTAAAATCAATTTGTTTCCTACGAATGAAATGAAACAATGAATATATTGAGCAAAAACAAATAGTTTAAAATATACACTAAATTGACACTTTTAAAAGTAGTATCTTCTGTGACAAAAGTGAATAAAATACCAATCACTGTTAGTTAAAGATGGACATTAATACGTGTAATTGAATTCTCAAAAGAGTTAGTTTATTATTACATAATAAGATACTCATTTTGTTATCTGTTAAAAACTAAAGAAATATTTGCAAGAGTTTTGACACACATTACATTATATGCTTTCAAATGATTGGATTTGCTATTCTAGAAATAAGTTCTTTTGATGATATTTTCTTGTACAAACATGATGATGATAAATCATTCTCATTTTTGTTTGTTTTCCTTTCCTACACTGCAGGATTAAAACATATCTATGCTGATCATGTGCCTGTTTTGAGATTTTCTTTCTCCTATATAACATGCTAGATTAGAAACACACATGATGATGATGAGTAGATTTTCTTTCTTTAATATGCTGGATTAAAGACATATATATATGATGATTGAAGATTCTCATTTGTTGATTTTCTTTCTTATTAATGCTGGATTAAAGACAGATATTAATATAATTATGATGATTGAAGACTCTCATTTGTTGATTTTCTTTCTTATAAATGCTGGATTAAAAAAAACACATGATGATTGAAAATTCCCATTTGTAGATTTTCTTTCTAATAAATGCTGGATTAAAAAACACAAATGATGATTGAAGATTCTCATTTGTAGATTTTCTTTCTTATAATTAAATGCTGGATTAAAAAACACATATGAGGACGATGATTCTCATTTGTAGATTTTCTTTCTTATAAATGCTGGATAACAAAACACATATGATCATGATTTTCATTTGTAGATTTTCTTTCTTATAAATGCTGGATTAAAAAGACAAAAAAAACAACAACAAAAAAAAACAACAAAAAACAACAACACATATATGATGATTGAAGATTCTCATTTGTAGATTTTCTTTTTTAATAAATGCTGGATTTAAACACATATGATGATTGTAGATTTTTTTCTCATATAAATACTGGATAAAAACACATATGATGATGATGATTCTCATTTGTAGATTTTCTTTTTTATAAATGCCAGATTTAAACACATATGATGGTGATGATTCTCATGTTGATTTTCAGTCATATAATTGCTGGATAAAAACACATATGATGATTCTAATCTGTAGATTTTCTTTCTTATAAATGCTGGATTAAAACAGATATGATGATGATGATGATTCTTATTTGTAGATTTTCTTCCTTATAAATGCTGGAATAAACAAAAATGATGACAATTCTCATTTGTTGATTTTCTTTCTTATAAATGCTGGAATAAACAAAAATGATGACGATTCTCATTTGTTGATTTTCTTTCTTATAAATGCTGGAATAAACAAAAATGATGACGATTCTCATTTGTTGATTTTCTTTCTCATAAATGCTGCATTAAAAAACACATATGATGATTGAAAATTCTCATTTGTAGATTTTCTTTCTTATAATTAAATGCTGGATTAAAAAACACATAGGAGGATGATGATTCTCATTTGTAGATTTTCTTTCTTATAAATGCAGGATTTATGCACATATGATGATAACGATTCTCATTTGTAGATTTTCTTAAAATTATAAAACCTTGATTAAACACATATGATGATGATTCTGATTTGTAGATTTTCTTTCTTAAAAATGCTGGATTAAAACACATATGATGATGATGATGATTCCCATCTGTTGATTTTCTTTATTATAAATGCTGGCTAAAAACACAGATGATGATGATGATGATTTTCATTTGTAGATTTTCTTCTTATACATGCAGGATTAAAAACACATCTGACGATTTTCATTTGTAGATGTTCTTTCTTATCAATGCTGGATTAAAACACATAGGATGATAATGATTCTCATTTGTTGATTTTCTTTCTTATAAATGCTGGATAAAAACATATGATAAAATGATTCTCATTTGTTGATTTTCTTTATACATGCTGAATAAAACATAATGAAGATGGTGATTATCATTTGTAGATTTTCTTTCTGCTTTATGCCAGAAAAAAAACACACATGTTGATAATTCTGCAGATTAATTGACGTTTTCCTTTCATATGTTTCTTATTTAATTTAGGTTTAAAACACAGAATACATCATTTAAATTACATAAAGTGAGCAAAATAAGGTACAAAAACATACTCTAGTCAAGTACAATTTAACTAAAAGTCAAAATAAACAAACAAGTATTAACTGTTGGAAAATCTGAATAGTAAATTACCCTCTTAAATTATATACAAAAGAAGCACACCAACAGTGCTACCAAACACAAATTTATGCAGAAATTTAATTATGTGATATATCATAAATTGTTACTTCACATTTGCTTATATTTTCTGTCAGAGAATTTCAGATTAAATTTTTCTTTAAAATATAATATGCTTAATTTAAATTATAAACATATTTTGAATATGATCTCTCTCTCTCTCTCTCTCTCTCTCTCTCTCTCTCTCTCTCTCTCTCTCTCTCTCTCTCTCTCTCTCTCTCTCTCTCTCTCTCTCTCTCTCTCGTGTACATATTTTTCCTAACTAAACAGAAAAACAACAACAACATAAAAAAAAACAAACAAAAATAAATAACATATTCAAAGACAAAGTTTTTTTACATTATAAGTTTTTATCCCCATAAAAAATAAAAGTTGTCACTTACCTTGAAAACAGGACTAGCTGTTATCTCATGATATATGCAAAAGAAAGAAATGTGAGGGTTTTTTTAAAACAATTCTTTTTAGACAAGTTTCACATACCATAAGCTATGACAAACTAATTAAATTTCAGATAAATCAAATCAATGATTGGAAGCGTAAAATAGAATGGAACCCAATCTTAGAATTAGTATAGCATAAAAATATCTAAGAAATATCAATTTACGTGACGAAAGCTATATAAAAATGCTGAAACTTTTGTAATAGCTTAATTACCAAAATGATACACTTCTTATGGATATTTATATTTTGCTGCTACTTATAAACATGATTACTGATGATGTGCTTCTTGTAGATTTTATATTTTGATGCTAATTAATCAGCACAATTAACGATTGATGAACTTCTTGTAGTAATTTTATATTTGCTGCTACTAATA